GGGAGCCAAGGAATACCACAGGTTACAGTATCTTAGCAACTTACAGCCTTGCTTCAGGGAAAGACTTCCCTAGAGTTTCAGCTCTGCTCTGGCAGGAGGGGGTTTCCCAGGCAAAGTTGTTACACTTCAGCTCCATTCCCTCTGAGAGTGTAACAATTTCAGTTGCCAAGGGAAGGTTTACCCCAGGAAAAAGTGTTACAGATCTGTTCTGCTCTGCTCTACCCAGGGTCCTCTCTGCTCTGGCAAAAGGTCTCACCCAAACCTCATTCAAGAGATTTATTGGGTGGGAAGAATCCAGCAGAGTGGCTGTCCCCTGCCAGAGTGACAGAGGACAGCCAAAACAGCCCAAACAGCCACAAGCTGAACAGACACAGGGTTTATATAGTATCGAGGCTATATAAGGGGGTTCACTCCTACAATATAGGGATTGTTAGGGGGCAGAGTTTTTCCAAGGTGGCGATTGATCAGATTTCAATCCCTGAGTTTAGGGTGGCTAGATCTCCTGCTCAAGGATTGGTTAGTTTTCTGCACAGGTTTAGGTCAGATTTGACTCTGGTTTCGGGACCACAGTATGTTTCTTTCTCTGGTCCTTTTTAGCCTTTTGGCTCTAGTTTTGGGCCAGGGTGTACTTCTTTCACTAGTTCTGATTCCAGAGCCAAAGTGTGTTTCTTTGGTATTGGTTTCAGGGTCAGGATACATTTCTTTGGTTGTGGTTGCAGGGCCAAAGTGTGTTTCTTTGACTCTGCTCAGGGTATGTTTCTTTGGCTCTGCTCAAGGTGTTTCTCTTTGACTCTGCTCAAGGTGTGTTTCTTTTTTTTTTTTTTAAGATTTATTTATTTATTATGAATACAACATCCTGCCTCCAGGTACGTCTACACATCAGAAGAGGACACCAGATCTCATCACGGATGGTTGTGAGCCACCATATGGTTGCTGGGAGTTGAACTCAGGACCTCTGGAAGAGCAGCCAGTGCTCTTAACCTCTGAGCCGTCTCTCCAGCCCCCAAGGTGTGTTTCTTTGGCTGGTCCCTTTTCCCTACGTCCAACTCCTTCACAAAGACATGCAAGTCAAACATCAATGCACATAAAAATTAAAAAATCAAAACAAAAAAAAGATTATGTTAGAAACAAATGAATAAAAAGATACTACTTAATGGTGCTAGTCAAGGGAAATTGAACTTTAGTGTTCAAAAATTATCATTGCAGGTCCCTGACCAAGATCCAGTCCTATGTGCCCTGGACATCTGCAGCCTCAGGGCATGTGCTTAGAGGCAACATGAGCATAGCTTCCAGGCCAATGTGCTCCTCAATTCAGCAGCTCTCCCTTCAGTGTCTTTGGCTTCCTGCCCTTGGTTCTACTATTTTCTATCTGCTTCTGAGTGTGTTCTCATCTTGCTCCAGAAACTAATGACCTGCTCTTTGTGAAGTGTTTGGGACAGAGCCTGGCTCTTGGTGAGCACTGTACATATTAGCTAGTGTTTTTGTTCCTGACACCATTTTCCAGGCTTTAGCAAGCCATCTTAAACTCAACTGCCAAGTCTTTATCGCCAGCCCTTGTCACTCAAGTTGGGTCCTGTGAGACCCTGGGCTGCTGTCCCTGTACTTCTTTCCTGTCTCCTAACCACCCTTCCCCACCAACAACCTGAGTCACCTGACACAGCCCAGCTTCTCCTTGTCACTTCCCTAGAGTGTGGTCCTTCTGGCTCAGCATGGCCAAACGTTATCAGGGGAACTTAGGCACTGGTCCTCTCAGAATATAGGGGCATTTCAACTCTGCCTCTCCCCACCGTTCTGTGGCCACCCACTCTGCAGGGTGAGTGTCCCAGTCCAAGTCTTTCCTGGGCTGAGTACTAGGAATGGGCCATTGTGAGACGCAGTATTTTTAGAAATGGCCTTTGCTTGCTTGGGTGACCTCACTGAGACACTTTCAGGCCCAGGGCTGGGTCTAGGCATTTCTAGCTTTTACAAATGACTGCATCAGTACCAGGGACTGGAGAGTTCGGGTCAAAGCCCAAGCAGCTGTGAAGACCATGGCCACCAATGAACACTTTGTCATCAAACCCAGGGGAGTCTAAGGGTTATTAGGGGGAAGGCACCACGCACTCCAAGCAGAAGGGGTTCTCCCTTAGTCTAAAATTCATGCAGGCTTTTGAAGGCCTTCTTGAACACACTCGAACCTGAGAGATGTCTATCCTGTGCTGGCCTAGTGAAACCCATGGTCCCAGGGCTACTGGTGTCACAGAATGAGGAGGACTAAGTGTTGGGGAGACAGGCTGAAGGATGTTCAGGGAAAGCAACCCTCTGGACTCCAGGTCTGGAACCATTTGGAAGGATTTTTTTTTTTTTTTTTTTTTTGGTTTTGGTTTTTACGAGACAGGGTTTCTCTGTATTGTTTTGGAGGCTATCGGTCCAGCCGGGCCTCTGCCTCCCGAGTGCTGGGATTATGGGATTAAAGGCTTGCGCCACCACCGCCCGGCAGGATTTTTGTATTCAAATTGGCAGGACATTATTCATGGCATGTGGTGTGTTGGAAAAGACTGGCTTGTGAGAGCTGTGTTCAGGACTGAATCCACCAGAATCCCCCTCCTGCCACTGTAGATCAGCCCAGTAAATCTAGTAATTTCTAGAGCTTTCTTAGAATCTAGAGGGGAGAGGCAGGTGTTGGTGGCACACACCTTTAATCCTTTAATCCCAGCACTTGGGAGGCAGATGCAGGCGGATCTCTGTGAGTTTGAGGCCAGCCTGGTCTACAGAACAAGTTCCAGGACAGCCTCCAAAACAAAACAGAGAAACCCTGTCTCAAAAAACCAAATAATAATAATAATCTAGAGGGGAATTGTTGAAGCTGTAGTGTTCACTGAACAATGTTAAGTGCTATCATTATTAAAATGTGTCAGTCAGGCATTGTGGTCTTGGCCCTTAGTCCCAGGACTCCGGAAAACAGGAGACCTCTGTGAGTTCCAGGCCAGCCTGGTCTACACAGTGAGTGCTAGGCCAGCCAGGGCTACAGAGACTCTTCCTGAAACAAAACCCAAATACTCCCCCCTTGCCCTACCCCTTACCATCACCACAAAAGCCACGTGAGCAGGCTCTGGCGTGAGACAAGGGATGAATCTAAAAGCCCAGAGCTTAGATTCTGCCCTACTGCTGCTTCTGACAGAAGGTTGCCCACCAGGGTATGTGCCCATACAGGGTACGTTTCCCCTCTTAGTTTGTAGGGTCCTGTAGATTTCTGTCTTTTGCAGAAGTCGCCATTCGAACTTCATCCCCATTGCTGTTCTAGCGAGGCTGTAGCCCCTAGGATGTCTGCACAGGACAATACCCTTGTTCTGGGTCCTGGGCTCATTTTACAGAGACCTGCTGTTTGCCATGTGCTTCCTAGGCGATTCCTAGTGCCTCAGACCGGTTGTTCTTGAGAGAGATCTCAAACTCTGTCTCATCCTCAATCCTCAGAAACTTGCATCTATGTAGCTGACGTACCAAAAAAAAAGTCAGAATGGGGTGACCCTGTGAATACTTGGTTAGCCAAGGCTTGCAGGACTTACTAAACTTTATTAATCCAACTCAGGAAAATATGGTGTCAAGAAAGTCTCACAAAAGCTGGGTGCATGCCTGGAATCTCAGTCACTGTGGAGGTTGAGACAGGGAGATTCCAAGTTTGAACAGATAAGCCTGGGCAACTTAGCCAAGCACTGTCTCAAAATAAAAAGCTAAGTGTGTGTGTGGGGGGGGGGGGCTATGGGGCTGAGGGGATGGCTCAGTAGGTAAAGTACTTGTTGCACAAACATGGGTAATTGAGTTTGCATCCTAGGCACCCATATTGAAAAAAAGAAAAAAAAAAAGTCAGGCATAGTGGTACATGCCTTTGACCCCAGCACTCAGGAGGCAGAGGCAGACAGTTTTCTGAGTTTGATGCCAGCCTGGTCTACAAAGTGTTCCAGGACAGCCAGAGCTACACAGTGAGACCCCGTCTTAAAAAAAAAAAGGCTAGGCAGTGGTACCTGGCCTTTAATTCTAGCATTCGGGAGGCAGAGGCAGTTGATTCTCTGTGAGTTCCAGGCCAGCCTGGGATTAAAGGCATGCACGTACAACCACGACCATAACCACCACCACCCAGTTTGACTCTTCCAAGGTATTTTACAACTACAAAAGAAATGGATGAAAGAATCTTGGTTTTTGCCAAGTGCAATAGTACAGGTCTTTAGTCCTAGCACCCAGCACCTGGGAGGCAGAGGCAGGGGGATCCCTGTAAGTTCAAGGCCAGCCGGGTCTACACAGTGACCTCCAGACAGCCAGGGATACATAGACCCTGTTTCAAAAAAAAAGAAAAAAAAATCTTGTTTTTCTTTCTGTAGCTCAAGGCTGGGCAGTCTCAAAGGAAAAAAAAAGACTGTTTTTGCCTGTACACTCCAATTTTCAGAAAAATATCACAAGAAAATCTCTTCCCCTCCTTGCCTTTAAATCCAGAAAGCATTCTTACAATATGAATGACAGGAAGCCCATGGAGCAGCTTCTCAAATCCCAGAAAGCGGTAATGATGGCCCCAGGTAGTAACGGCATTTGCCAACCAACCCAGACTACCCAAGTTTGGTATCCAGGACCCAAAAAAGTAGTTATCATCAGATTTCCAAAGGTTTTTCCATTGCATGTGTGAACCCTCCACACATACTGAATAAATAAATGCCAAAAAAAAATGTAATTAGCTGGGTGAAGTGAGCGTGATTTTAATCCCAGAACTCAGGAAATAGACAGGGGATCTTTTCGGCGTTGAGGCAAGTCAGATCTACACACCGTGAGTTTTAGGCCAGTGAGAACCTGTCTCAAAACGTGTGTAAAATAAAAATAAACCCAGAGGCACTCAAGCACAATACTCTAAGAGTTAACTAAACATGGCTCTGACCCCAGCCCCCTAGTGACCCCAAATACACACTTCACTTTTGAGGGTACACCCCACGGTCTTTCTCACCCCTCCCAACTCCAATAAGAAATTCAGGACCATGTTCCAAAACAAAAACCAAATTTATTCAGCAGATATTTTAATTGAAATCCTATAAATCAGGACCACCACAATTTCAGACACTCCGTTGCGAAGTGTACGTCAACAGCTACATCTGGAGGATGAACAAGCCATTGAATCTTTAAAAAAAATGGTTTAGCTACCTTAAAGGTTGGGGGTGGCACCTCAAAGGGCACCCTCGAGTTTCTCAAGGGGAAAAGCCTGCGATTTCTCCTCCTGGAGTCACATTTTAAAAACGGTTTCACTCACTTACAAAGAACTAGCAGGCGAGAGGAAGCAGGAGAGAGCCCCTCGGATTCAGCAGAGGGTTCAAAACGGGGCAGAAAAGTGTGTCCAAGGCATTCATCCAACCCCACATACACCACAAATAACGACGCTGCAGAGGACAGGGGGTTGTTTATGGCCATTTCTGAGAAAGCTGGTGACACGGCCAAGAGTGGTCTACAGGAGTAGTTCCGGAAAGAGAAAAGCACAAAAAGCGCAAATAACTCTCCCTTCACGGCCCTGTTGGCCTGCTGTCCTCGGGAGACTCCAAGCGGTGGCAAAGCAGGCAGGTAAGACACCGCGGTCAGCTCTCCCAAGGATCCCACAACACCCCACTCACAACTAACCTGACCTTGAGTCAAAGTTGGCAAGGTCAAGTCGTTTACAAGTACACTTTTAAACTCAACTCTCCCCACCTTCGAGAATTCACCAACTGGGTCTCATCACCCACCTTCACCGTCACGTTAACACACAGTGGGTGTTGCCAAGCCACCCAACTGCCAAGTTTTAACATTCCTCACCCCAGAATCTCTTCGATCTGCAATTGTAGCACCATATTCAGGAAGCTTCTCCACCCGAAACTGACGACACCGTGTATACCTACTACTCGTTTTCAAGTATTGTTAGAAAGCCCTCCCAATTCCCGCCCCTGCGAGCCACATCTATAAACAATCCAATATAAGCGATGTCCCCCATGGGCTAAGTCAGGTCCAAGTCGATCAAGTAGCTGCCACAGTTCTCCCAGTAAATCCCAGATCCTCGGCTGTCGGTGCTGCTCAGTCGAGTCCGTTTTCTCTAACAGCCCCGCGCGGCCGGTAATTTTGGGGCTGTAGCCCGCGGGATGGACGACGGCTTCAGCTCCGTACTGTCCCGGGGGCCTTTTCCGGGACCGCGGGTCAGAGCCAGGCACCCGAGGGCTGCAGGGTGACAGAGTCTGGTCCGCTTCGGCCACTCACGGACCCCGGGGCACTCGCGGGGCTCGTGGCTGCGACCGCGGCAACTGCTCGCTGGAGCCTGCGCACCGCCTCCTTGATGAGGTTTCCCGAGAGCACGAGCTGCTGCAGGAGCCGGTGCGGGTCGTCGTCGACCGCCTGCGCTCCACCTGGGGCCCACCGTCGCTGCTGAATTCGCCGAGATGCCACCGCACCCGGGAGCCACCCCCGCCGCCCAGGCCCGGGAAACGCGCTGGCGGCCGCAGGGAGCTCCGCCACGCAGTAGGGAGCCGCCCGGCCCCGCACGCGCCCGCGCTCCCCCAGCACGCAGCGCACGGCTCCCGGGGGCGCCGGGTTCCCGGCCTCCGCAGGCGCGTCCGGCCGCAGCAGCCGCCTCGCCGGGGTCCGGGCCTTATCCGCCGGCAGCGCAGCCACGACCCGCGGGGGCGGGGGTCCCGGGGCAGCACACGGCGAGGCCGGGCCGTCGTGCGCCGCGTCCAGCTGCAGCGTCTCGCCGATCTGGGCGATGAGCCGGTCCACGTCGGCAGAGCCGCCCAGAGTCACCGACTGTTGCAGCAGGAGGAAGCTGTCGTCGTCGTCCTCCCCCTCCGCCTCGTCGCCGGCTTCCTCCTCCTCCTCCCTCCGGCACGGCATGGCCCCCCGTCCGGGCCCCTGCGGCTGTGCGGGCGTCGCTGGCGGCTCGGTTGCCCGCGGGCTCGGCGGGCCGCGGCTGGGGCGAGAGCGGGGCGGAGGCCGGGGCCGGGCCGGGCCTGAGACGCGGAAGCCGGGGGCCACCGGGCAGCCGCACCGCGCGCCTTCCAGCCGCGGGAGCCGGAACGCTGCCGGCTCGGGTTGATTTGTAAACAATGGGTGACGTCGCGCGGCTCCTACCACCGTGCGCGGCCGGGGTGGGGGGACGTTCGCGAGAAGACCTCGGGGTACGGGACGGTGCACAGCGTGAGGGATCGCGACACCGCGCCCTCCGCCCAATGCTAGAGTATCCGTCTGTGAGCAACCCTGGGGGTGGGCACCGCTTTCGTCGAGCCCAGGTCCCACTAGCGGTCGGGAAAGAAGCACACTCGGAGGCGGCCAGTTGGCTTCTCCCACTCGCGGACACACCCCCACACACGCCCCGCCCCTCCTCCGCTGCGCCCGCTCCCTCCCCACGTGTCGGCGGCAACGCCTGCGTTGGCCCTGCTCCACTCTGCGCACCCGCAGTGGCCTGCGCGGCCCGGGGGAGGGGCGGCCCCAGGGGAGGGGCGACCCTGAGGGTGGGGGCACGGGGGGGAGGAGGAACCGATGCTGTTGAGACGCAGATCCTGTGGTCCGAGTACCCCAGACTTCCTCCCCCCCAGGCCACTTCACTGAGCCACAGGGTGGGCTAGAGTTGAGTGTTTTTGTAGTTCAAATTTTCCCGTAACCGTCGGACTCAAACATGATTAGAAGATTTTTTTCCTTTTTAGCCTTTTCTCTGTACATTATACAAACAACCACGCACTAAAACATTACATTTTGTCTCGCATTAAAATATAAATGCTTTCCAGTGATTGCACGCGCTTTGAAAACATTGGAATGATTACGTAATTTCCCATTGAGTGCTTGTAATTGTTTAAATTCCTTAAACGGTTCTTTTTGTCCGTATCCCCCACCCCCACTTCACTGTTATTTAAGTGTGTGACTAGTTTTTCCCATCAAACGCTTCCAAACTCATGATTTATTTTTCAGAGCACATTCCTAAGTGTGGAGTTTTAGATCAAAGGATAAGAGTATTTTAAGTTTGGCCTTTTATTATTGTTGTTGTTGTAAATATACAAAATCACCTAAAGTTTGGTAAATGTACTTTCCTCATTAATTCTTTGAAACCACTAGATTTTAGTATTTTTGAAAACCTTATTTTGTGTGTGTTCCTATTTTACAGGTGAAATTGACATTTTTCAGTTTGCCTGTGGTTTTAGTTTTATTTTTTGTGTTTGGGGTTTTTTGTTTGTTTTTTGAGGCGTTTTCTAATTTGTTAAGACTTACTTGTCTGTTTTGTAAATTGTTCTCCATGACTCACTGGCATATCAGACGTTAACCTTTTTTCATATTTTACTATAAATTTTTTTTCTGGGCTTTGCACAGTCGCCCCCACCCCTAAACCTTAACCCTTGTGCACACCCCCAGTAAAGCAATTTTTTTGTTGTTGTCATTTGTTTTTTCAGGGTTTCTCTCTGTGGCCCTGGCTGTCCTGGAACTCACTGTGTAGACCAGGTGGGTGGGCCTCGAACTGGGAGATCTGCCTGCCCTTAGCCTCCTGAGTGCTGGGATTAAATAAAGGCTTGCACCACCACCATTTGCCTTCCTTTGAAACTTCTAACATAGAGATAGAATAGATCTAGTCTCCCTGCCTCCAAAAGTTTATCAAAGAGCTCCATCTTTATATATATATATATATATATACATATATATATATATATTGCCTTGTTTCTTTTATTTGTAGTTTTTTGTTTGTTTCTTAAATCCAGGGAAATGAGATGAAATGAATTTCTTCCTCTCTCTTCCTCCTCAGCTTGTCATCCGGGGCTGATGCAGAGGAGTGTAGATTAGACACACAGAGCCTGTCTGTCCCGAGTTCCCAGATGCTGGGAACTGATGGTTGTGAGGAATGGGGGGCTGGGAATAGTCTGGTCAGTCTAGCGGGAGTCAAAAGGGCTCTAAACAGGTTCTACAAAGACCTAGATTCAAGTCTCAGTCCTGCTACAAGCTGGGTGTGGGACTCCCCACAAATCAGTTTACAAGTGTTTTCACTTGTAAAATGGGAAAGAATAATCCCGCCCTGCCTCCTTCAGAGATTGTTTTCAGGATCAAGTGAGATGATGGAAGCAGGCTTTGTCAGGCTTTACGCAAATGCACTGTGGGATTAGGTCCAATGGTTTACTGACAACCCCTGGGCTCTCTTCCAGCAAGTCCCTGGGGGAAGAGCTAATATCTCAATAATAAAGGTCATCCCCTCTGTCCACTAACTAAAGTAGACCCCGAAGGCTATACTTCCTAGGACTGGGCTGGCCCTTAGAATTCTGCCTCCTGTCGACTTCGCCCTGGGATTGTTTAGGGCCATCCTGAAAGCACCCAAGGACTCCCAAATCTCAAAGTGTGTCATAACTACAGCTAGTTCTGCAGGTTTGGGTGAGGGCACCTTTCCCAGAAGGCAGCTCCCTCCTCCATCTCCTAGTCTCTCCACACACTTTACTGCTGAAGACTGGAAGCCATTCTCCCCGGAGAGAAAGTCTCATTTTCATTCTGATGGTACTTACTGGAGAACTTCAAGGAGAATGAAAATTAGGAGAGGGCTTATGGATTTCAGCAGAGTTAAAATGGCAATTTCCCTCCCTCCTCTCTGTAAGATGATGCCTGGCTGTAAGTAGGGAAAAGCAGTTTTATGCTCCATTGACTTTAAACATTAATGGGTCTGGCAAAGCTATTGTTTCTAACCCAGCATCCCTGGAAGTTGTTTTGTCTTCCTGTCAGAGTAATTCCAATAGTGTTCTTACTACTGTAGGAAATGGAATTGTGAGATGGCATTAAAAAAAAAAGGAAGAAAGAAATCCTTCCCTTTGTAATGTTGCTTTTGTGTGCAGATTTCTATGTAAATATGCTGGGCTGTGGACATTAGACTGTTCATTACAGAGATGAATGCCGTGCAGGAGCCCTGCTCCATTTTCTCGGGGCACTTCTCGGGAGAGCTCAGAAAAAGGAGTGCTGTGCTGGGCCAGTGGGAGGTGGAGAGGGATGTCCTGGATTAGGAAGCAGAATTCAAAACGCGAGAGAGGCCCAGATGCAATTAAAAGTAATGAGAAGGTATCAAAAAGGGAAGCAGTGAGGACCGTGCCTGGCACACTGGCTGCCAGCCTGGAAAGAGACACTGCAAGCATTCGGGAGACGCCCTTGGAGGGACAGGACTCAGGGGCTCACCTCAGCATTCAGTCAGCTGTCCTCCCCAAGGAGTTCGCCTGCCTCGTGGACCCTTTTTAACATAACTGTCTTCAGGGTAATGGGGAACGAACTAGACTTAAACCCCACCGGGTGGGGTCCCTTCATTTTTTTGTGTGTGTGCCTCTGATTCCTACACTGTAAGATAGGGGATGTTTTATTCCAGAAGGCTTATCCCATAGGCAATACTAGGGTAGAGTTATTCCCTAAGGAGCAGAAATACTTCCAGGCATGTTCTAATGCAAAAATCCAGTTCTGTGGTGCGGCCCCTTAGTAGACCAGTAAACAAGTGGTGACGTACCCGGGAGTCTTCTGCCAAAGAAAAAGAATGAAGCCCTGACGTCTCCACTCATGGTTAGAGATACAACTCAGAGCCCATTCTTCCATTCTTTTGAACAAAACTCATGCTACTGATTAGATTAAAAAGAAAGGGCTGACCTGGCGTTGGTGGCGCACGCCTTTAATCCCAGCATTCAGGAGGCAGAGGCAGGTGGATCTCTGTAAACTCAAGGCTAACCTGTTCTACAAAGCAAGTTCCAAGCTAATATTATGGCTTGTGGATTTTTTTTTTCGAGACAGGGTTTCTCTGTGGCTTTGGAGGCTGTCCTGGAACTCACTTTGTAGACCAGGCTGGCCTCCAACTCACAGAGATCCGCCTGCCTCTGCCTCCCAATGCTGGGATTAAAGGCGTGGGCCACCACCGCCCGGCGATGGCTTGTGGATTTTATATCACTAAAAGCATTACATGTTGTACCAGACATTTGATTCCCTGCTTTATTATGTAATTGGAGCCACAGTCTATTTACTGACATGAAATAATCTCATTACCATGTTTCCAATGTAGACCTGCTGCTCTTCTTCAGTTCTGAGGGCACACTGAATACAATACATAGAAAATGCCGTATAAGGGCCAGTGAGATGGCTCAGCAAGTAAAGGTGCTTGCAGCCAAGTCTGACAACCCGAGTTCAATCCCCAGGACCTGATTGATGGAAGGATAGAAGGGACAGTGATGTCCACACATGTGCTATGTCATTCTCACATACAAATAACTGGGGCTGGAGAGATAGCTCATTGTAAGACTGGCTGCTCTTCCAGAGAACACTGGTTCAATTCCCAGCATATAGAGGCCAGCTCAAAACTGTCTCTCAATACAGTTCCAGGGAATCTGATGTCCACTTCTGACCTCCAAGGATATCAGGTGCACATCTGTTACACATACATATATGCAGACATAACATTCATACACATAAAACAAAATAAACCGGATGGTGGTGGCGCACGCCTTTAATCCCAGCATTGGGAGGCAGAGGCAGGCGGATCTCTGTGAGTTCCAAGCCAGCCTGGTCTACAAGTGCTAGTTCCAGGACAGTCTCCAAAGCCACAGAGAAACCCTGTCTTGAAAAACCAGATAAAATAATAATAATAATAATAATGATAATGATAATGATAACTTGGCAAGAAGGTGGTGAAGAACCAGAACCCTTGCCCATCCTCAGGGCATGAGAAATGACGCCTCTCCTTTTGGAAACAGTTTCAAACTAGCAGTTTTTAAAGCATTAACCCCAGGCCCGGGCAGTGGTGGCTTGCACCTTTTATCCCAGTGCTCCGGAGGCAGAGGCAGGTGGATGTGAGTTCAAGGCCAGCCTGGTTTACAGAGAGTGTTCCAGGACAGTCAGGGATATACAGAGAAACCTTGTCTCAAAAAAAAAAAAAAGATTAAACACAAACTCTCCACGTGACATTGAGTCCACTCTTAGGACAATACTTAAAGGAACTAGAGACCTTCCCACACAGACAGGCACATGAATGTTCATAGCAGCATTAGTCATGGTTCTGAAACTGAAAACAATCCAAATGTCCTTCAAATGGTGAGTAGATAAACAAAATATG